AACAACCCTTTGAGATAATTTTATTTTCTTCATTAAAGATTATTTATTTTGACATTTTAAAAAATTTTGAGTTCTAAATTCTTTCCCTCTAGACCAGACCCTCTCCTCCCCCATTAAGAAGGCAAACAATTTGATAAGTCATGGAAAAGATATTCCCATATTAGTCATGCTACAAAAAAAAGCAAGAAAAATAAAGTGAAGAAAGTATGTTTCAATCTGCATGCAGAGTTCATCAGATCTCTCCAGAAGTAGACAGCCTTTTTCATCATGAGTCCTTTGTCTTGGATCATTGTTTTTATCAGAGTAGTTAAATCCTTTACAATTGATCATTGTTACAATTTATTGTTGCTAGGCACAATGTTCTCCTGGTTCTGCTCACCGTACTTTGTATCAGTTCATTAAGTCTTTCCAGGTTTTTCTGAAAGCATCCTGCTCATAATTTCTTATAGCACTATAGTACTCCATCACAAACACATGCTACAACTTGTTCAGCCATTCCCCAATTGATGAGAATCCCCTTGATTTTCCAATTCTTTGCCATCACAAAAAGAGCTCCTGTAAATATTATTGTACACATAAGTCCCTTTCCTTTTTCTTTGATATCTTTGGGATACAAACTCAGTAGTGTTATTGCTGAGTCAAAGGGTATGCACAGTTTTTTAGCCCTTTGGGTAGAGTTCCAAATTGTTCTTCAGAATGGTTGGACACTGTTGGTAGAACTAAGAACTGCTCCAACCATTCTGGAGAACAATTTGGTGTGAGCTCACATCTCAGAGTTTTAATTTGCATTTTTTAAATCAATAGTGATTTAGGGCATTATTTTCATGTGTCTATTTATAGCTTTGATTTCTTCTTCTGAAAACTTCCTGTTCATATCCTTTGACCATTTATCAATTGAGGAATGGCTCCTATTTTTATAAGTTTAGTTTAGTTCCCTATATATGTTAGAAATGAGGTCTTTATCAGAGAAACTTGCTATAAATTTATCTCCCTCTGCCCAGTTTCCTACTTTCCCTCTAACTTTGGCTATATTGGTTTTGTTTGTGAAAAACTTCTTTAAATTTAATGTAATTAAATTATCCATTTTACTTCCTGTGATCCTCTCTCTTGTTTAGTCAAAAAGTCTTCACTTATTCAAAGATCTGACAGGTATATTTTTTCCACTCTCCCCTAATTTATTTATGATATCATTCCTTATGTTTAAAACACGTACATATTTTGACCTTCTCTTGGTATAGTTTTAGATGTTTGTCTACACCTAGCTTCTGTACTAGTTTTCCACTGATCTACCACTCTATTTCTTAGCCAGTTCCACAGCGTTTTGATGACTACCAATTTGTAATAGAGTTTGCAATCTGGTACTGCTAGGCTGCCTTTCTTTTAAAAAAAAATAATACATTGATAGTCTTGACCTTTTACTCTTCCAGATGAACTTTTAAAAATTATTTTTTGAGCTCTATAATCTAATTCTTGGATAATTACACTGAATAAGTAAATTAACTTAGGTAGAATTGTCATCTTTGTTATTTTGACTTGGCCTACCCATGAGCAATTAATGTTTCTCCAACTGTTTAAAACTGTCTTCATTTGTGTGAAAAGTGTTTCATAATTTTTGTTCATGTAGTCACTGGGTTAGTCTTGCCAGATGGATTCCTAGTATTTTATACTGACTGAAGCTATTTTAAGTGGAATTTCTCTTTCTTTCTCTTCCTTCTGGACTTTTTTGGTAATATAGAAATGCTGATGATTTATGTGGATTTATCACATATCTTGCAACTCTGCTAAAGTTGTTAATTGGTTAAACTAGTTTTTTTGGTTGATTCTATAGGGCTCTCTAACTATATCATCACATCATCTGTAAAGTGTAAATTTTGTTTGTTCATTACCTATTCTTATTCCTTATATTTATTTTTCTTGGCTTATTGCTATAGCTAATATTTTGAGTACAATATTGAATAATAATGGTGACAATGGACATCCTTGCCACATGCCTTATCTTACTGGGAAGGCTTCTAGTTTATCTCTAACACAGATGTTTGCTGATGGTTTTAGATAGTGACTACTTATCATTTTAAGAAAGGTTTTCACTTATTTATATACTTTCTGGTGCTTTTAAAAGGAATGTATGTTGAATTTTGCCAAAAGCTTTTTCTGCATCTATTGATAATCGTGATTTTTCTTGTTTTTGTTATTGATATAGTCAATTATGCAGATATTTTTTTCTAATATTAAACCAGCCCTGCATTCCTGGCATAAATCTTACATGGTCATAATGTATGACCTGTATGATATATTGCCATTAATCTTCTTGCTAGTATTTTATTTAAAAATTTTTGCATCAATATTCTTTTCTTTCTCTGTTTTTGTTCTTTCTGGTTTAGATATCATAACCATATTTATGTCATAAAAGGAATTTGACAGGACTCCTTCTTTGTCCACTTTCCCAAATAATTTATATAGTATTATAATTAACTGTTCCTTAAATGTTTGGTACATTTCACTGATAAGTCCATCTGGGCCTACAGACTTTTTTCTTGGTAAGCTCATTTATGGCTTGTTCAATTTATTTTTCCAAGATAGGGTTATTTAAGTATTTTACTTGCACTTCTATTCATCTAGGCAATTTATATTTTTGTAAGTATATATCCATTTCACTTAGATTGTTAGTTTTACAGGCATATAATTGGGTAAATAGCTCCTGATTGTTTTACTTTTTTCTTCATTGTTAATATATTATCCATTTCCATTTTTAATACTGAAATTTTAGTTTTCTTTTAAAAATAAAATTAAGCATTGGTTTATCCATTTCATTGTTTATTCTCATAATAAACCAGCTCTGTGTTCTGTGCTCTGGTGCTTACCCAGGAAGGGACCCTGATCCCTTATAGCCACAAGCACTACTTCTCCTCAGGGTCTCTGCTTCTTGTGACCACAAGTGCTCCTCTTCACCTTGGAACTGTGACCCAGAAATGGGTCTGAGAAATGGAATTGCAAAACTGTTGCCCAGTCCTATGCCAAATGCTGCACAAGGGTCCCTTATAATAATTTTTTTCTAACCGATTGTCCAATTCCCTTACTATCTCTTGGTTGAGAGTTCATGAAGCTGTTGCTGTTGCTGTCATAGCTGCCTCCAAGTTCCACAGCTGGTGTTGACACTGCATGTGCTCTAGACCCACTCCCAACTCAGTCTCACAGACCTCTACTTCCAACCTCCTAAAGTGTCTTGGGCTGGAAAAATGTCTCATTCTGACCTGGCTCTCCTGCTACAGAATTTGATTTGATTTGTTGTTTTAAAGTTGTTAGGAGGGGGATGTGGGAGAACTTGGCTATAAAGCTTCCTCTACTCCATCATCTTCACTCCCTAGTGGCGAATCTTCATCCTGTGAGGAATAATTTGATTTTTTGCAAACAGCCAGAAGTTATTTGATCCTGTCTACCAAGCATCCATAATTTAAAGCCAAATCATCATCATCACTGTTTTCATCACTTGTTCATTCATTTGTTCATTCAACAAATACATTAAACATCTACTATGATCAAGGTCCTTTGGTACATGATGTAGCAAATTCAAGAAGAATGAGATACAGTCACTGTCTTCAAGAAACATGTAAAGTGCCTAGCTCATGGTAGACACATAGTAAATGTTGATGGCCTTCCTACTTTCACTGTTTAACAGCATAATGTACTATATGCTTGAAGAAATAAGAATATAAATGAGACAGGATTAGAACTTGTACTCTAGGAGTTAACAGGTTAGTAGACCTGAAAAGCTGACATGTAGAATTTATAGATAACTAGAAAGCAATCGAAAATTTTAAATTGATACCTTTTTAAAATATTATCTCCATTTCCCACTATGGGCAGCTAGGTGGTGCAGTGGATAGAGTAGAGTGTCTGACCTGGAGTCAGGAAGACTCATCTTCCTGAGTTCAAATCTACCCTCAGATGCTTACTAGTTGTATGACTCTGGACAGATCACTTAACCCTGTTTGCCTCAGTTACTCATCTGCAAAATAAGCTGGAGAAAGAAATGGTAAACCACTTCAGTATCTTTGCCAGGAAAACCCCAAATGGGGTCATGAAGAATTGGACACGACTGAAAGTACTCAACAACAACATGCTCTCATCTTCTCCTCCTGCTTTCTACAAAATTCCATTTTTAGATGCTGCTTGTGTATTCACATTCTATATACGGTTGCTGAAGCTAATGCTCAAGGCCCACTGATTTTTCATACCAACAAGCCTGAACTCTATATACAAATAAAATATGCAGATAACTATCTCTGCATGTTAATTCAGTAACTGGCAGCAGTACCTAATCAATGGTCCCTTTAATAATTTTTATTTCAGGTCCTTTCCAATACTATGATTTTAAGACTATGACATAAGAGGTTCCTAAGAGATAAGAGTTTGATGTTCTCCTATTTACATAAAATGACTCCTCAAATTTTTGCCTGCATTGTTTCCCTATAACATTCTATTTTTTAAACATATTTTACATTTGTATAGCATTCTACAATTTATAAAGCCTTTTTACAAATGAACTATGTAATTTGGGGAAACAGTTTAGGAAAATGTATTGGATTTTGAAATCTTCAAACAATTTACCAAGTTGCTCTGGCCAAAGAACAACAATGACAATGACAGCAATGGTAGTAATTAATAATAGTAATAATCACTTGGTGGCCAATCTTCTCTTGATGATATTTCTTGAATTTATATTGGTTTTTGGACAAAAGTAGCACAGTACATAGACAAGAATATATTCAAAGCCTCTTCAGCCTGGTAGGACCCAACAGAGATTGTACTCTGCTGACACTGCTTTTGAGAGCCCTAGGCCACAACCAAACCATGGTGAAATAATATAAGAGGAGGACTTTTGTTGATCTTCACCAGTAGAGTTCATTAAACTAAGCCACAATGGAGCTCTAATCTTTATCAATAGATAAAATTACAGCTTTGAGATAAAAATATTAAAACAATCATTATAAATAACTTACCTTAGTACATAGTTACATATGAAATGTGCTGCATTTAGAACAGTTCCAACACTAGGACAATCAATAATAGCACAGCCAATTTTGTAGGTAGTATCCCAAACAATCTAAAAGACAATTTCAAAACAAAACCTATAGTTAAATCCTTCTAGTTTACTATTGTGGACAGACATGAAATAGGTCACAAACTTCTGTGTTTGTATGTCAGTAGGAAGAAAAGAATGTTGCTGAACAAAAACTAAAACACTGTTCTGAGAGTTGTTTAACGGATCGAATACAAAAAACCTAAAGCTATTTGTTTAGAAGCTGAAACAGTTAAGGTGTCTTCTATCAGAGTCCTTGAGATAGTGTGCTATACCCCATATGGTTAACACTACCAAGAGTCTTTTTATTAACTTACTTGACAAAATTGTTCTATCCTGATCTAAAACATTCTTTATTCATAGCTCCTTAAACATAATTTCCAGGATTAAGCTTGAGAACATATAAAAGGTCCTATATCATGTCTGTTTATCAGATTCCAACTTAAGACTAAAGAGCCTGAGAACTCTCCCTGAAGACTGCTCATAAATAAATGTGCCCCTAACAATACTGATTTCAAATATTACATGAAAACTATTATAGGCTAGGCCTACATTTGGCCTATTCCAATAGATACAAAGTTTTTTTTCCTTTTTCTTTTTAAAAATCCAGCTATCACTCATGAACCATTTAAAATTCAGTGAAAACTACTTTAATAACAGAATATTTAAAGCACACAATGCAAGAATTTTAAAAAAGATATAAAATACAATTATCCTTTGCACTCACTGAATTAGGAAGTGAAAGAGGGTACCAGTAGGCAACTGGAATTCAGGAAAAGTTTCATGACAATTTCCCCCACCCTTAAGCTAAACCTTTTATAGTTCTAACCACAATAATGTAGGGAAAAAAATCACTTTCTATAGAATTTTTCAACCAATGAATCTCATATACAATGGAGTTCATTTTCCTTTTTATGTACAGAAATAAAATACATTACAGTGCAAGGGACAGCATCATTTTTGGCTACTAATTCCTCTTATAGAATTATATAACTTACTGAATGATATCTGAGAACCTACTTAAGTCAGAGGGGAAAAGAGAAAAATAGTAGAAATTGAAAAGAATTAGAAAAATGGAATGTAGGATTCTTGACAGCACTTGTCATTTTTTATCACCATTATTCCATCTTCCGCATTCCCCTTAGCTCTCCCCCAACCTAAAGATAAACGTACTACCTTGTAACAAAGAAGTATAGCCACACAAAACAGGTCCACAGAGTGCTATGTCTAAAAATGCATATCTCATTTTGTACCTCTAGTCCACCACGTCTCTGCCAAGAGATAATGATTAAATGGCAGAGGAGGAAGCGCTGGGCCTACAATTATGAAGACTCAAATCCAAATTTGGCCTCAAACACTTAACTAGCTGTGTGACCTTGAGCAAGTTACTTTACCTCTGTTTTACCTCAATTTTCTTATCTGTAAGATGGGGATGATAATAATAGCTACTCTCAAGGTTGTGAGGTCAGTTGAGATAAGAATTATAAAGCGCTTAGCACAGTTTCTGGCATATAGTAAGTACTATATAAATGTTAGCTAGTATTATCATTATTGCTAATATTACTTCACAGGGTTTTTGTGAGGATCAAATGAGATAATTGTAAAGGACTTAGAAGAGTGCCTAGAACATAGCAGGTGCAATATAAATGCTAGCTATTATCATTACACTTTTGAATTTATGATTTGTGGTTGCATTGATCGTAGTTCTTAATTCTTTTAGTTGTTCTAGTAATTGCATAAATCATTCTATTGTTTCTACTCATTTCACTATGCATTAGTTCATATAAGGACTGTAGTATATGGTATGAGACAATGGTCTAAACTTAATTCCTACCAGCCTCCTTTCTCATATTCCCAACATTTTTTTTGTTGAATAGTGAGTGCTTATACCCCAGCAGTTGAGAATTGTTGAGTTTAGTAAACACTATGACAAAACATTTGATTACTACTGAATCTTGTGAACCAAATCTGTTCCATCAGTCAACTTTTTTGTAGTATAATTTTAGATCTGGTACAGCTGGCAACTTCCCCCAACAACAACAACAAAAAAATTCCTTCCCAATTATTTTCATTATTTTCTTCAAGATTCTTGACCTCGTTTCTCCAGATGAATTTTACTATTTTAAGAGTTATGTAAATAACCTCTTTGATGATTTGATTGCTTCTGCAATGAAGGCATAAATTAATTTAGATACCATTGTCATTTTATTATATTGTCACTTCCCAACACGAACAATTAATCTCTCTACAATTATTTAAGCATGTCTTTATTTCTATGGAATGTTTTATAGTTGCATTCATATAATTCCTAGCCATGTCTTAATAAATGGATCACCAAATAGTGATATAGCTTCTGTAGTTATTTTTAATTGTATGTCTTTTTTGATCTTTTCTTTATGGGTATAGGTAGTAATCTATAGAAAGGTTTGTGGGTTTTTTTGAGTACCTTTTATATCCTGTTACCTTGCTGAAATTATTGTTTGATTTAATTTTAAATTAAATTTTTAGTGTTCCCTAAGTAAACCAGTATACAGTCCACAAAAAGCTAAAATGTGGGGGTTTTTTGCCTATAATTATTCTCCAAATTTTTTTTTGTTGTTACTATAGCTACCAATTCCTATATTGTATTAAATAAGAATGGTGACAGTGTATTGCCTTACTTTTTCTCTAATCTTATTGGAAAGGCTCCTGGAGTTTCTTTAATATAGATAAAGCTAACACTTGATTTTAGACAGGCATTTTATTCTATATTAAGGAAAAGTCTATTCTTTTGCTTTTCAATGATTTTTTAAAAACAATGATTGGGTGTAATAGTTTATCAAAGCATTTTTTGCATTTGTTCATAAAATCATGTACTTTGAGGTTATTAATGGTCATCCACTACACTTATAATTCTGATAATATTGAATGAACTTCTGTATTCTTGGCATATATGCAACCTGGTCAGAGCATATAATCTTTTTAATAGGTTATTGTAGCTACCTTGCTAACATTTTATTAAATATCTTAAGTCAGTATTCATTAGAAATATTGGTCTATAATTTTCCTTCTCTGCTTCATTTTTCCTTAATCTAGATTTTAATATCACATTTGTCTCATTGAAGACTGGTAGGATTCTTTCTTTCCAGACACGTACATTGTAGGAATTAATTTTTCCTTGAACGTTAAATCAAATTCACTTTTAAATGTATCTGGCCCTGCGTAATTTTTCTTTAGGAGTTCCTTTATTGCTCATTCAATTTTTTTCTATGACTGACTTATTTAAATTCTCTAGCTCTTGGCCTGTTAAACTTAGTACTTTATGTTTTTTGTTAATATTCGTCCATGTCATTTATCAGTTTTATTGGCTAAAGTTTATAATAATTTCCTTTACTTCTTCATTTGTTGTGAATTCTTTTTTAAATTTTTAAAAAAACCTGACAATTTAGCTTTACTCATTCTAAAATAAGATTAGCTAACAATCTATTTTATTAGGGTTTTTTTATTCCAAGTTTTAATGATATTATCAATTTAATGTTTTCTTTTCAATTTTATATCTTCTTTAATTTCAGACTTATTTTTGTGTTTCCTTCTTTTTTTTTTCTGGACAATACTTATTCTTATTTACTTGGTCTTTCCTAAGTGATTACAGATCTTTTACAGGAAGACCTAAAATGTTTTGGAGCTTGATGCAAGCAGCACAATATTATCCACGAACATCTAGAGGAATCCATCATTCACAGAAAATCCCTCTTCAATTTGAATTCTGTGCCCATATTGAGGCAAATACCTTTGACACACATTTATCTTCCTATTTTATGCCTCATCTGATTTTATCCATTGAATAATTTCTAATTTTTTTTATCTTCCAAGAAACCTTGGATTATTTTTATGTATGAATGTAACACGCCTTGATGTAAAAGTGTCCATAATCCAGCATTTTGTTCTACTGAAACAGATGGTTTTGCATACTCTACAATGAGCATGATGAGATCTTATATTTTTCTAGGTCTTTTAGTTAGTTGTGAAATGGTAAAGAAGCGAGCTGCTGTTGAATAAATCCTCATTGGAAATGTCTTTGATCCATTAATGGGTGACTCTTACAAGGATATTATATAGATGGAAGAATAGGCTTAAGACAGTAGTTATTTCTGTCCTCAAATTTGCCTTGTGGAGAATTAATAAAATCTTTCCATGCCTTTGGGGTCTTCCCCTACATCAGATATCAGTACCTTAATTACCTGTAACAATACCTTGTCCCTCAATACTCCTGCAATTATATTGCCTCCAGCACGGATCTCCTCCTTATTCTGCTCAATCCAACACAACTGTTAACACCTATCTTTATCCTCTTTAGTGCCATTACTATTTCCTTTACAAGCACATTTGGGGTCATGATATTAGTGTCCAACTGTAGCATTTCTGCTATCCTTGATGAAGACAACAGTTTGTTAAAATGGTTATTTGCATGTCTTTCCCATTTTTGTTCTATTTGTAGTCTTCTTTTTGTTTTTCCCTTTACTCTTGAATGTTCTTGGGATGACTTTGCTTGGCTATTGTGCCAAGCTTTCTTTAAACTAATTTTACTCTCCACTGGTTCTCTCTATTTTAGAAGAAGACACTACTCAAAATCATCCATCATCTTTCCAGTCTTCCTATACCTTACTCCCTGAAATATGCTCTGTAGGGAAGCAACAAGAAGGATTTGTCATCTGCCCAGAGGTAACATGAAACATTTTTTTCATGGCATATTTAGTTATTACATATTTCAATACTAAAATAAGTATCTGCAAAAGGAGTACCATGAAAATAATTGCAGCATCTGTGCCAACGCTGTCAGCTGGAATGAAGTGCTAGAGAATTTCTACAACTTGTTAAGACTCTCCAGATCAAATCAACATTCTAAACAACATATTTTAATCCACCATTATTTTACTTTCTTTTAAAATATCTAATTCACTCAATATATCAGTGACTGATTAGGCAGTATCACTAATACTTTAATGCCATGCATTGTGCTCATAAATTTGCATGAAATCTATACA